TTGAAAATAATTTTTTGAGAAATAAAGCTCAAAAGGGCTTATGGAAATGAAGTTTGTCAAATTAGGTGGCTATCTTTTGTCTCCGAGTTTTCATTTTGTGATGTTGTTTCTTTGCTACATTATTAGGTAAAATTCTTTGAGAAAGCATTTTAAATATTTAGAAAAATGGAAAATAAATAATAGCAGTCAAGTTGACTTACCTTTCTTAGAACCTCTACATTTTTCTTTAGGATAGGAAGTATGATTAATTAGGAGCATCAGATGAGATTTCGATATGAAGTAATTTTGTGCATCTCTTTAAAAAAGAAATCACTGGATTAATACAAGTTTAACAAATAACTAGGATAAGAAGTGAAATTATTAGTATGCATATCGGTCAAAAATTATGAAAATAAATTTATCCCTTTCGAGAGAGAACAGTGTTGTGTGTACAGAGGAGAGGTTTTTTTCCACTATTTTATTCATGTGTGATCTACCTCTATGCGAGTATTCTGTATTGTTTATGTGAAATCATTTCTATGCAAATAGAAAAACTGTTCGAAATAAATGGTTATATCCCATGATATTAAAATGTCACAATTCATTCCCCAATCGTAGTTTTAAGAAATTTTAAATTAAGATAAGATGACAAGATTCCTATACTTAAACTTTCCCAAGAAATGACAGTCACAAGTGCCTACTCCCATAAAGTTTCATAAGCAGCTCTAATATAATTCAAGGATTAAAGAGGAAATTTATTATTCTTCCACTCAGGTCTCTTAAAAGCTAATTTGTAAGTAGGAAATTAGAAGATGGTTTAACCCCTTTTCTTTTGTCTTCTCTGTTTGATTATATTCAAATTTCCATTAGAAAGAAAACACTGCATTATAAATTCAAGACAAGTTTGATATAAATTTCCAATCATGTCCAGTACAAAACACTAAACCCTTGTTTGAGCCCCATTTTTTTGGGAAGAATGAATTTTTGAATAGTGTATTGATGGAAAATGTGTGGTTAAAAAATAAGAAAAAATTTTGGATTTACGTGTAATATTATTTTATTAAAGAATATGTGATTGGAATGATGTCAAAACATTGTTGAAAAATATATTTTTCCAAAAGAATGGGACTCAAACAAGGCTTAAATATGTCTTCAGTATCTTAAAATGTATTCTCTCTTTCAATATCATAAGAAATGAAATTATTAGCATAAAAGTGAGCCTTCACCTTATAATTGCACATTGAACTTCGAGTCTGGGACGCTACACATAATTTCAACTTTTAAAATTATAAAGTTTACATTCTAGATAATTTATTAATTCGACCTTACGTGCGGAATTAACTAATTAAAACAACAAATCACTTTTAATTAGTTTCTAGATGATTAAATATACAATCCAATTTTCTTAAGTTTAAATACCGCAATAATAATATAGAAAGTAGTAAAAACACAAGATCTGTTGATAGAGAAACCCAACGTGAGAAAAACTCCTGGACCTTTTCAGTTACCTCCACTATAGTCAATTAGGATTACAGTGTGATTTCAGTCTAGCTACTCTCTCTAGTTTCAGCTATAGTAATTTCTACAATCTCTAAGACTCGTTGTCAATCTTCCAATCTCACGATATACTGTCGTAGATACTGTCTAGCCACTCCACTAGACTTCCCGATCTACCTCTGCAACCCATAAGATCTGTCATCTTTTCCAGTCTCCTGATCTTAAACTGATTGCTTCTTTCAAGTTAAATTCCCAAGAACTTCCTGTTCTGGTTCTTTTCCTATGCTTGAAGTTCACATCTCTCAATTCCCAATGAGAGAGTCTCTTCCTCCATGAATTAAGGAAGCCAGGTGTTTTGGATTACAAAGATGTAATGTTTTTTCCAAAACTTGGTTGTTGGATCACAAAAATGAATTTGATGGATTCACCAACGAATTGTGCCTTGGAATCTTCAAATCGCGACCTAGGGTTTGGCTGGATACAATTGTCGCTCGAGCGAGTAGCTAGCGACAGCTGAGCAATCGTCAGTATTTTCATCATAATTTTCTTTTCCGATATCCGATTGAGATGATTCAAAATGCATTGGAAAGC